AGTATTACAGCCGTAGCAACCAAAAACACGCCCGAGCAAAATTCGATTCATTTACAATTTTCAGTGATTCGCACACAACAACATAAATACAATACGAAATAGCACTGTTGCTACGACGACATGTGGAATCGATATGTTCAGCATCTTGATTGAACAAATGCAGAGTTTTTTTTGTTTTTTGTTTTGTTTGTAGTGTAATCAGTGCTGTAGCTTTTGTTTGCGACAATTTTATGATTTGTATTCATTTCTATTACACAGACTTATTGGGGGGGGAGCTCGCTTTCAGAATCTTACAATCGAGATGAATCTGAACGGTTTCATGTCGAAAATAAAAACACAGCTTAGTTATCTGTATTTAGAATCTAATTAGCAAGTAGCTCCCAATGGAGGTTTCAAACCTTGGCCTTGTGCCAGGAGAAACTTAATAAATAATTTATATACAAAAAAAAAAAAATTGCAGGCCTAGAATGGTTTGGCTGGTTTCATGCCTTTAACCAATGTTCTTAATATTCTGCATCTTTTCTCTCTGTTGACATTTGAAACACCGGCTTCCCAAATACTTTCTTTCTTGCCTATTCTTATTTTTTACTCTTAGTTTAAACAGTACAAATTTAACGAATACATGACCCAAGGTTCACTTTAGGTAGAGGAAATTGTTGTAAGAGAGGGGGAAGTAAGATAGTATTATGTTGACGAGTATAGATATCGGTTGGCCCAGGACTTAAAGAAAGCTAAGAGTGTAGTCTAAATGAAGTATTGTCTTGTGGAGTAAGCTCTCTGAGTCTAACTTGCTTTTTTATCAAAGGAACCTGAAAGGAATGTGGATGGCTTGCCACTGTGCCGGATCCTAGCTGAAAAAGTACGACCAGGTGGAACTACAGAACGTAATATTAATGATTGCATATTTAATTTTTCTTAAATCACTTTTTGTGACATTCTTAAAAACAGTTTCTTATTGTTTTTTTTCTTATATCTTTTTTTCCCAACCTACACCCTTGTTCACATTAATTTAAACAAAACGAATAATTACGTTACTATTTACATTTTCGTATTTTTCCAATGAAACAGTGCACATGTTACATCGTATGTCCATTCCATGAAGTCGTATCTTGCAGATTGACCACAGATTCTCAATTTAAATCAGAAGTGTTTCCTGCCAATCTATAGTACTCTAATTTGCTCTCTAGTAAAACTTGTCAGTGTGTTCCTGCAGAGTTACGTACGCCTCCTTGGAGTAATACCCATCGGAAACAATGGCCGTAGGACAACTAATTGACAGTCAAGATAATAATGTCTGGGCGTGATAAAAATCTGATGCAATCACCGATGACGCAATATTTTTCAAGACCAAACAAATTTCATCATACACCCCGAAAACAGATTCATATTGCTGCAAACGACCTAATCTGAGGAACAAAATAGAAATCGATTACACCTTGTCACTCTAGTGGGTCTAAAACTGACCGTAGGGTGAAAGACAGAAAGCTAAAATGGTTGTTTCAATAAATTTGCACAAGAGTGTATGTATTTGAGAAATATTTCACGTTTTAAGCGTTTTAATGATTTTTCGCCGAGAAATGGAAGTAATTTTCGCCTTTCATGTGAGGAAAAAATACAAATTGATAACACGATAACACCCTGTCACTCCAGTGAGTCTAAATCTGGCCGTATTGTGAAAGAACGGAAACTAAAGCAATGAATTTGCAATTAAAATTAATTATCAGTAAAAAAAAAAAATGACTGGTGCCTTTTAGTCATCTTATTGAAGCATTTTGCCTTCCATCAACATGACCTTCTGCCGGAGATCAACTCATTGTGCCTTTTCGGACCCACGTTTTCCAATGACGTGAAGTGAAAGGATTGTATTGAATCAGTTACTAGGCCTGCTGCATGGTAAATTTATTAAATGTGTTGGGCTAAACATTTTTTTACATCGTGCGCGCCAATAAATCTACCATTCCACCATGCATCGAATATTGCTGTCAACTCTGGTCTGCTGCTCCGTCTATATATCTTGAGATTCTTGAAAATCACCAAACATTTCGACTTCAGACATTTTCCGCCATAAAATAGCTTCCGTATAAAATTTCTTTAGTTTTACGTAGTGGAAAAGGAGTAGGAAAAGACGAAGAAAACAAAAAATGATCAAAGACAGCGTTGCAAATTTAGATAATTTTTATTATTGTATAGAAATGTAATCTTTGTTTTGTGTCAAGTTGACATAAACAAAGATACAAGTTACTGATTTTCGCAAACAAAGCTCAATGAAAAATATCTTGGCTTTATTTTTTTATAACACAACATAAATAAATTGCGTTACTATGATTAAAAAGCTGTATGCGACTACATAACGCGAGAGTTAAGTATGTGTGTTGCTTTATGTATACGTGTACTGCATCGCGTGATCATAGCAGCCGACAAGCCTAATCATTGAGTTTTTTTTATTCTACTACTACTACTACTATCGCTTTGTTTACGTATCTCCGTTCGCATGTTTTTCGTGTTGAATAATATATTTTCAAATCGAGAAACTATTCGCGAGAAGGTAGTCAGTAATTATACGAAAGTTTGAGTAATCAGTTTTACTAAAGGTGCAAGTAATCACTATTGCGCACAAAGCAAGGTAGTGAAGAACTTAAAATTGACTTTGTATATTTACGCGACGTTATTTATGAGAAAAAATAAAATCAAGGAAGACGCAAATTAGTATTACAAAATACAGAAGTTACAGAAGTTTACTGGTTAATAAATACATTTTCCAATTGTTTTATTATTTATTTTCTGGAGGGAATATACTGTTAATCATTTTCTAGAGCGGGATGTTAATTGTAGCCAACAACAATAGTGTCGTCTGATTTTTCAAAGATGGCAGGGCGTTTGGGATAACGTTGTTGATTGGTTAATAAATGTAAATGTGAATTTGGAGCCTTCGTTTTCCACAAAGTTGAGCTGATTTTTGCGTGATCCTTTTTTGCGCAGAATTTTTTTTTTATTTTTAATGGTGTTAGATGTAGGGAACATTTTTACGTGGTCCTACATATATGTGGTGTAGGGGTCCGTACACGCGCTTAGACCACTGGGAGAGAGACAGTCTTCACTCTCTCCCGGGAGAAAAAAATTCTGTTTTAAAAAATACTGTCAAACATGCTCCAGTACGGCTATGCTATCTTGGTGGAAAATGTGGACATTGGACTGCACAAGCAATGATCTCTATAAACAAGTCATGTAGGATATATATATATATATATATATATATATATATATGTGTGTGTGTGTGTGTGTGTGTGTGTGTGTGTGTGTGTGTGTGTGAGTGCATATGTTTGTGTGTGTGTCTGTGTATGTGTTTTGTGTGTGTATGTTTGTGCGTGTATGTGTGTGTGTGTATGTTTGCGTGTGTGTGTGTGTGTGTGTGTGTGTGCGTGTGTGTTAAACATCCTGACGAGTGGACGGACCAATTACGAAAAGGAATCATCTCCGAGAATCTGAAATTGACGTACTGAATATAGTATCAATCAGCTAAGTGATTCAGTGCATATGTACGTTAATTATATATATATATATATATATATAAAAGAAATATGTTGTAGTGGTTCCAACGAGAGAAAAGTATGTATATTAAAAGAAGAGAGGTGCCGCAAACGTTTTGGTTGTAATGTGGATTTATTTAGAAAAATATTATGCTTTGTTTTACATAATTTTACTACGACACGTGTTTCTGGTCTCGCGACCGTCTTCAGGTAAAAGTGGAGATTTCTACATATTATTAAAAATAATTAATTTTTCTTCATATTCAATGTGAAATGTTCTCGATATGAGACATTCTCTGTTTGTGTGTTGGCAATCCGAATTTTCTTTCTATATATATATATATATATGTGTGTGTGTGGGGGGATTGCGTGTGTGTGTGTGTGTGTGTGTGCGTGCGTGTGTGCGTGCGTGTGTGGCCGGGTGCGCATAAAACTTTCGCATTCAGACCATGAGAGTCGGGTTCAAATCTCACCATGGTCGATTTGTTAAGAAGGAAACTTCCAGATATTATCGGATTGGAGGGGTCGATCCCAGCGTGCGGCACCTTTGGAAAGTGCCTGAAAACCATACCCCGCGTTGACCCAAGCCTAGTAAATCAAATTGGATGCACGGAACACTTGGGTGCCGTCGATAGCAGTGCTACCACGAAGTCACAAGTTATCATGGCCGAGATCTTGGGCGTTCTGGCCTTGTTTATATTGTCGGTCACGCTAGATAACACGCTCTTTCCCAGAAACTGTAACTAAAGGTCAGATCGGCATAGCTGCAGTATAAACCACAGGTGGAATCTGTGGGTGTTGAATAAACAGAAATGTGCCTGAACAAACGACTGTAATAGGGATTCACTAGCCGCCGTATTAGATGCGTGTCCTCATATAACGAATGGACACATATACACACACACACACACACACACACACACACACACACACACACACACACACACACACACATATATATATATATATATATATATATATATATATATATATATATTTTTTTTTTCCAGCGGTCTGCCCTCAGGATATTGCTTTACTTATTTTCAAGACAAATTTTCTAAGAATATTTCCAAATGTTTGTTTTCATTTTACAAGTCTACCTTCACAATGCATTTGCAGACATATATTCTTTCTAAGATTATTTCTCTCAATTTATACATATATATATATATATATATATATATATATATATATATATATATATATATATATATATCTTTTATGTAATTGTGTATTTATGTTATATATATATATATATATATATATATATATATATATATATATATATATATATATGGGCATCTTTTATGTAATTGTGTATTTACGTATATATATATATATATATATATATATATATATGCGTGTATGTGTGTGTGACAAAGCTGAAAATTCTCATACCTATATTGAAGTGGTTATCAAAGATATTTCCTAACCTTTTAATAGATAGATAGACATATATATATATATAAATACATTGAGATAGATAGATAGATAGATAGATAGATAGATAGATAGATAGATAGATAGATAGATCGATATGAATAAATTGATATAGATTGCGGTAGAAAGAAAGAAAGAAAGAAGTCTTATTTTGATGGCTTAATTTTCTACGTTGCCATTCAAGTTCTGGTTCTTAAGATTTTGAACTTTCGACTGGCCTCAGTAATTTTCTAATGTGAAGGTCAGTAGGTGAAATTCAAATTCCCTCGGGTACGTTGCACGCACGCACGCACACGCACACACACATACACATAAACACACTCACTTATACACGCACGCGTGCACACACACACACACACACACACACACACACACACACACAACTTACACAATCATACACGCATCACGCACACACCCAATGTAAGTATACCAAAATTCCGTTATTCGACGGTTTTCAGCTGAATGCTCATTTAAATGTTTAATATTCAATAAACGTCTTTAACAGGCTTCCTTATCATTGTTTGAGAAGAAAGAGATTATGTGGATAAATATATGATGTATAAAAATAAATGTTGGTTTTAGCATTAGATTACGGTTTTTGAAAATGTTAAACTATAACCACTATTAACATTTCCATGTCATTTTTATTATATGAAATATCATTTTTTTTATGCATTTCCAATGTTATTGTGTTCGCCATTTTTTTTACTAAGTTTCTATAATTTATGTTCAAAACTTTTCTAGATTTTTTACCTCTCTCCTCCAAAAAGTAAAATTACACATTCTCTGACCTTAAAAATTTTAATGACGTCTTTCAATCTGGCTTCAAAGGCGAAGTTTTGGAATATAGTAGATGAATTCTCTTTTGACAGATATTCTAGATTTTATGTTAGAACGTAAAGAATTGATTTTTTTTTATCATGATAATTTGAGATTAATTTTCGTGCTTCATGATATTAAAATTAAAAATAAGGAATTTGTTCATTTGTATGAAATTCTACCCGAAATTGTATTGTAATAGCAAAAGACGTCTTGAAAACTAAGTAAAATATGAAGATACTTAAACTAAATTTCGTTAGAAACAAAGATTGCAAAACTGTTATACGAATATAATATCAATCTTCCAATATGGCAGACTTGAGTCTACAGAGATATCGTTCTACAGTAGGATGCTGAGAATCCCATGAACGGTGCATTTGAGCAACGAATAAGTTTTAAGGAAACACGTAACAAAATGAACACCAACTTAGAATCTGAAAGAGACAGTTGAAATTTGTAAGATACATAATGAGGAAACCGGCCTTAAAGATGTTAACATCAAATATATATATTATATATATATATATATATATATATATATGTATATATATATATATATATATATATATATATATGAATTGGATTGATGTGAGTTTGTGAACCTGGATTTCACGCTTTTGCTATCGTCAGACTAACCCAAACCTTGTGTCATATTTGCCCCAGTGGGGGGAAGGGGAGATTGAATATTGTCAACAAACCCAGGGTCACAAACTCACATCAATCCAACTAAATATGTTAGCTCTATCACTGTTATTAAGAGTTTTCCAATAAGTAACGCGCATATATAATATATAAATAATATATATAATAAATTTCATATATATATATATATATATATATATATATATATATATACATACACATTTCACAAACACATACACACATATATATATAAACACACACCTATATATATATATATATATATATATATATATATATATATATATATATATATGTATTGTCATCTACCGACAGACCGTTTCGCTGTATCACACTTCATCAGTGTGGTTAGACGTCCGGTTGCCTTAAGCTAGGATCTAAACCTGGCTTAAACGGAGTCAGATTCTACACCTAAGCAGTTGGTGCAAAGCAGGGATGAAGGTGAATTTAAGCATATTTATTTTTTAGATAAACATGGCAGTGCCTGAGAGAACTTCATTCGTTTTATCGAAGAGAATTGCATTATTAGCAGTAATAGTCACTCTTTTACAAATTCACACTAAAATATGCCCGTAGTAAAATTATTGTAGAAATAATTCCGCTAAATCTTTACTAAGTGTGACTGGCTAATACCAATTTCATGACAAAAATACAGGGCCCTGAAAAAGTAAGTGTACACTAAATATAAATTGCTGTATACCTACATTTGCACACGTCTTTAGTGAGTTACATAATAAAATCTAACATAACGTAAAGCCGGTTTTGTTTTATTTTCTGTTCATGTCTATGTCGTGCCCTAGCTGCTCTAGGTTGCTGGATATAAACATAAATACTTTGACACGCCCTTTTACAGAAACAGGTTGATCAGTACACATTCGATCGACCGATCGATACGGATGATTGGTTGTTATGACAGAGATACACTCAGACGCAAAGGCCAATATCGATCAATTTTGTATTTAAGGGAGGCTTTTGTCTTTTCTTCTTTTTTTTTATTTTAATAGCAACGGAAATTCAAGCCGTGTTGCTTCCTCCACTGAAAAACAATTTACAACTGTTGACAAAGACCTATGGTCAGAGAATCAAAATTAAGTGCAGGTCTAGAGTGATGCCTAATCTGTTGAGCTTCTCATGACGTTATTTTCTTATTATCAGCTGACGAAAATGATAACAAACAAATTGAACCGAGGTAGCTATACTTCCTAAGATGAAAGTAATTTCAGTTTCTTTCATATTGCGAGGTATAGGGCGTTTTGGGGTTGTTTTTTTTTTTATGGAACTGAATAATTTCACCACTCTTTTCAAAACTATTTTCTTATAATCTACTGCAGATGACCAAAAACGTCACAAACAGAATGGACTAAAATACGTTTTCTGTCCTAGTATATGAAACGGATTTTAGGTTGATTTATACTGTCAGATACAGAGATACTTTTACCTAATAAAACTGAATAATTATACCGCTCCCGTCAAAAAAAAAAAAAAAATTCTTGTAAAATACGTTACGTTACCAAAATGGCGACAGCAAGAATGAACGAGAATGTGTTTTTTGAACTAGCATAAAATGCCTTTCGGTTTTTATATATAGCGAGGTATAGAGTTATATCTACTTTATAGAACCGAACAATTTTACCTCGCTTATGAAAAATGTATTCTGCAATAAACTACGTTAAATTTGCAAAGACTGCGAGAAAAAATAATGAACAAAAATAGGCTTATTTTTCCTATAATAAAAATATTTTGGCTGTTATCTATTGCGAGCTATTTTACTTTATGAAAATGGATAATTTTGCCACTTTTATCAAAAAATTATTTTCTCATAAACTACGTCAAGTGATAAAAAATGGCTGCACATAGAACGAACGAAAATATGTTTTTTTTTTCTCTTACGTCATCGGAAACAATTTGATATCTGAAGAGTGAAAATGAAAAGCAATACAATACAATTTGGTTAAAGCTTACACTGAAATGTAAAATATAGATAAAGGATCAAAATTTAAATCTAAAGTTTGCCGGCTGATGTATCTAAATTGTAAAGCTAGTTTATTTTTAAGCTACTTCGTTTTTCATTTATTAAGTTAGAGCGCATTGTATCATTTGTAATTTTATGAGGAAAACGATCTTGTTTCCTCACAAAATTCCAGTGAATTTATGTTAGTTAAAAAAAAAATCAAAATCTAAAAATGATAAAACTTGAATGAAATTAAGTATGAAATTTACTTATCTACCCAATATTCCAAAATATAAAATTTATACCATATAACATGTGTGCGTGTGTGATAAAAATATTGTTTCAAGATATGCTATTATTCATGGGTAAAAGTGCTTAACGACAAATGATATGAGCCCATGTAAATCGAAAATATAAAAGTGGACACTGGGGTGTAAACTAAACGGCAAACATAAATTTTCAGGTCGGAAAGATTGCGTTTAAGCATGGAACAGACTGACACCGCTTGGTGTTGACGTCATTGTTATTGTTATTTAAAAAAATAATCACACACACACATATATATATATAAGGTGTACGTTAAAGTCAACACCCAGCAATATATGAACTGATGATTTGTTACAAGCATATAAAATTGTCGCCTCTGGGATTTGACTTCAATGCCCACTTTCATATTTGCATATGCTATATCCCATAAATATGGCATATATGGCATACCCTGTAACTATTTTCTTTCTCTCTCTCTCTCTCTCTCTCTTGATATATATATATATATATATATATATATATATATATATATATATATATATATATGATCATTTGAAATTGCTAAAGCAGATTTTCAGATTGTTTCACAACACTAGCCAGAACAGTGATTTCAAGAGAGGCTGGAAAGGCCGCAAGCCTGTGTTTGTGCTCCTTTTAGCCTGTGTTGTGCACAACTAATGCCCAAATTACCTTTTAACTCAGGGGATCGCATGCTATATATATATATATATATATATATATATATATATATATATATATATATATATAGGCTGATGTTTGAGGGCTTTTTTAAACCACCGGGTTAGATGCCCTCCTTACGCTTAGACAAAGCAAGGAAAACTCTTAGAAAACACGTGCGGCTTTTGATGTTATCCAATGATGTCGACTTATCAGTTGCTTAAAGTGTGGCTCTGTGCACTGCCTTTGCCCCTCTATAAATGCTTCATGCACAGGTAGACACTTCCTATCTGGAAATCTTTTCTGCACTTGTCAAGATATATAGTAATGGCTGTACTAGGACACGAGTTGGTAAGTTGTTTTATAAGCACCATATATATATATATATATATATATATATATATATATATGAAGTTTGAAGTAATTAAAAATTTGTGGGAAAAATAAAACCATTAATTTTTTAGAAATTTCTTTGTTTTTGCTTTTGATACGAAACCGAGTAAAAAAATCTGAACCAGTTGATAAGCATTCCTTAAAAGTGTAAATAGAATTGTTAGAATTTCAGTCGAATGATGAGACCTAACTGACAATCTAGTATGTCACTGGAATTCATGAACTTGTGGTATCAAAGAAGAAAATTCATCAGAAAAATTACCATGAATATATATGTAGATTGTCGCACTTTATGTGTGTGAATTTATATCTACATCCAACATTCTCTTTCTCTCTCAGTTTCTTTCTCTTTCTCTCTCTATATCGCACTCACTACA